TTTCCTTTCCTTTCCTTTCTTTTCTTTTCTTTTCTTTTCTTTTCTTTTCTTTTCTTTTCTTTTCTTTTCTTTTCTGTGATACAAGGGTACATTATTCTTAACCTTTTCTGAGAGGATATTATAATCATGCAAATCATCCCAACAGGAAGTTTCAATGCCATTTTAAAATATATCTAAACAATTGTGTGCTTTCCTCTCTCTTTCACAGTATAGATTCAATGGTTAATATAGTCACTGTTAATACAAGCAATTATATCATTTGGTGCTTTCAGAGAGACACAGAATGTGTGCCTGGACATGTGATGGAGGATGAAGGATGGATAGGAGCTGTTTGTTACAGAATTTTGTGAAAGCCCAAAGTACAATTAAAAGAAAAATAAATAAATAAAAAATAAAAAAAGGTAGCAGGAGAGGGAGAGAGAATGAACAGCACACAGGCCAGTCCATGCCTATTAAAAATGGTGCTCCAGAAGTAGCCTCTACCTCAGGAAGACTCTAAACTGCTGACTGATGAAATCTGGGATGAGATGCCTGTCACTCCGCACCTGTTGCATTTCTTACATCTTTGCCTAAGTTGCTGTTAATGGTCACTGTTGGAGATAAAGGCCACTAGGCTAGAAGGGCAACTGATCCTACCAGGCTTATCGCTCTTCAGGCAGATTGTAAGCTTTTGCATAAGAGTTTATGAGCAGGAAGGATCTGAAAGTACATCCCATCCCCAGGTTTCCACAGCCCTGAGGGGCTGGTGCTTCCAAGGCGGGATGCTGAGAACTGGGCTGAAGGTTACAACCTGCTGGGTTGTCTGAAGGGAGGGGAAAATAAAAAATAAAAACACTAAAAGCTGCCTGAGAACTGCAAGCAAGCAGACGCTTGGAGTGGTGCCTGAACTGAAGGAAGGAAAAGCACAGAAGGCAAAGCAAGGAAGGCAAAGCGGCATTGCTGGGAGGGAGGGCTCCAGTGAGGGGAGGGGGTCAGGTGTCCCACCGGGCCCCAGGGAGGCGATGCTGCACCAGGTGGCTGGTGCTTTGCACTGTGTGAGGAGGAGCACGGCAGCTTCCTCACTTTGAGCATGAGCTGCTCGGCAAGGACGGGGGCTCCCAACTCCACCTGCAGCCCCACAAAACTGGGAAGCCTGAAGACAACGCTGAGGCATTGCGCGCAGCCTGGCAAGCAGATAAGTCTTATGTGATGCTGATGGGGAGAAAAAATAAATAAACAACAAAACAAAACAAAACAAAAAGGCAGCAGGAGGTTGTGCGGAGGAGCCAGCTGAGCAGGAAGGACAACGCGGTGCCTTCTCTTACTGGTCTCTCCCCGCGTACCGTGCACGCTCACACGCACAAACAGTCACACTAACACACACACGGGGGCACCCTCCTGTCGCCTCCCATGCCAGGGACATGAGGGAGCAGCGAGCTGTGTCCTGCCACCCTCGCAGATCAGACCGGTCCCCTAACGAGCCCCAGTGGGCAGGGAGGAGTCCCGGGGGATGCCTGGGCCCGCAGGGAGCACAGCTGGGCTGGGAAAGGGTCTGCAAAAACACAGGGCACGTTTTGTCCCCAGTACATATTCCCACGTGCCAGGTACTCATCCCTTACTTAAATCCTGTCTGTTTTGTCCCTGCTTCTCCTCCCCTGGAGGAACCGCTGCTTGGAAAGCTCCCCCATTGCCTTGCCAGAGCTGCGATGGGAAGCAGAGTAGCAGCGGCAGAGGCAAGGCTGCCTTTTAGAAAGGCAGACAAAAGAGCAGACCTTGGTGCTCCCTGTCTTGAAGCGACAGCTAAATGCAAGAGATGGAAAAGTCTTTGGGTCCTTTCTCATTTCTCTTGGTTTCCTCCCTGGTTTGCTTTCATAAACTGGTCGCAAGCATGCTTTGGGGCACCGGGGTGTCGGTCTGGAGCAGTCTGAAGGAATGCAGGTATTTCTCTCCTGAATCCCAGAAGGCAAAGACTTTTGCATTTTTTTTTCCATTTATAGAAAGAACTGCCATGGATTTTATCTCCACTCCTTCCCCCTTCTTTAAGAGAGTTGGGCAATAGAGGTTTCCTCTCACTGCTCCTCCAGAATCAGTTTATCTCCTCTATTTAAATGAGGGCTCCTTGTTTCTTCCTGGGGAACTGGGATGGGAAGGAGAGGAGCTTCCCTGGGTGCCTGCACATTTACAGAATGTAAGAGCACAGCATCCATCTTCTCCCGCAGCTGGGCAGGAATGACACTGCTTGGCACTGGCTTACATCTTTTTGTTTAATGCCTTCTCCTCTCACTTTCCAAAGGGACCATTTCTTTGCTTTTTCAGTCTGTGCCTGTCCAAGGCAGATCATCCCTGGAGACTGATCGATGGCATCACAGGAAATCGTATTAGCAGGTAAAGATTTTCATGGAAGAGGTTTCCTTGTCACTCCAGCTTCTTCTGCATATCTTTTTCCTACCATCTTCTCTCTCCTTTCTTCTCCCTTTCTGTCCCCTCCCAAGAACTGCTGTGAAATTCTGAATCTATATCTACAATTTGTAGATGAGCATCCTAAGAAACTTGGTGTTTATGCAGCCACATGCACTTATAAGAGAGCATGTAATTAAGCTGATACAACCGTGGCTGCATAAGCTTCCTGAGATAGTCTGATAGGTGAGCCAGCACAGGGGATATAGCTGTGGATCAGACTGGAGGAATGGCAAGAGAAGGACAACAGGAGCGAGAAGGGCCTAGGGGGCAGATATGGGCTGGAGTTGTGGAAGTGGTTTGGATGACAGGAACCCCAGCAACAGCTTTGGTGTTATTGAGTGGTGCCACACTATGCAGTAGGTGTGATAAAGCAAGTGAGGGGGACATTAGAGCTTGGGGAAGTAGGGTAAAAAGGAATGGCCATGATGGGTGATGGGAGAGCAGATGCAGCCTCTGCGCAGTTGCTTTCCTCCCCACAACAGGGGGATGTTCATTCACTCTTTGCATCTGCCAAGGTTTCTGGGATCAGGAGCACCGTGTGCTGACACAATAGGAATGTAAATCAAGGTAAAATGTATTCATTCATGGGAGTGTGCAGAGAACTAAATATAAATGCTGAAAATAGATGCAGTGCTGCAGTGAACCTAAGCCAGCTCTGTCAAACCTGGCTGCCTAAAGGAATCCACGTCCAGATGAAAAAAAAAAAAATCCAAGCTCCCAGGTCGTCGCCTGCTGGGAGTACCCTAAATCCACGGAAGCCTATGGAAAGTGCCAGGCTCAGCACTCAGGACACTCAGGCCCTGAAGAGGGAGGAAGGTGCTTGGCAGCTTTTTCCTGGGACGGGGATGCTCAGGGGCGGGTGACAAGGCCGGATGTCCCTGGGGCCACCTCGGGACCTTCACCCCGGGCTCTGCCCGCAGCACCCGATGCGTTTTGCAGCCCCGCTCTGTCCCCGCAGCAGGTGCC